TTGGTAGGGCTAGTATATAGATGCGATTTAAATCTGTGAAACTAGATGAGATCATTTTGAGCATAAGTTTAGATGGAGAAGAGAAAAGGCCCAAGCTTCCCAACTTTTAATAATTGTCAAATAAAATAGAGGGCCACCCCCCAAAATCATTCTCTCTCTCTCTCTCACACACACACACACACAAATCCAAACCAAAGCTGAGCTTATTTACATGTCATGCAAGGAGAAATTCACTGAGTATTTCTCTAAGAAAGTAAAGTCAGAGTTTTTAAACCTTAGGACCGTGGTCGGCAAACTGCAGCTCAAGAGCCACATGCGGCTCTTTGGCCCCTTGAGTGTGGCTCTTCCTAAGCCTTAGGAGTACCCTAATTAAGTTAATAACAATGTACCTACCTATATAGTTTAAATTTAAAAAATTTGGCTCTCAAAAGAAATTTCAATTGTTGTACTGTTGATATTTGGCTCTGTTGACTAATGAGTTTGCCGACCACTGCCTTAGGAAGAGGAGTATAAGGTGGTTGTGCTAATTCAGAAATGAAAATTAGCACTGTGGATAGGAGAGAATGAGTTCCTAAGTCTGTATGTGATTATTTAAAGCAAGTCCCTTGTTCATTGAAGTCTAGGAAGGGTCGTATGTTCTGGGGTCACTTGGAATTCATGGTCTTTGATCTTTGTCAGCTGGTTGAAGCCACTGTAATGAAACAGTATTCAAACATGAAATCTCCTAGGCATTTGCTGCTGGAAAGTGGAGAATTGTTGTAAATGTTTCCCTCCACGTCCCGCGTGGTTCAGGGTTCAGGATCTGGAAGTGGAGCCGCACACAAATGAAAGAGAAAAGACAAGAGATAATTTGGGAATATTGGGGGGCCAGGCTGGTAAGTCCAACTCAAGAGGAAGGACTTCCACAGGTGCTCAGGCCGCGCCAACCTTTTATTGGTTTGGGATACACCCATAGCCCTTAGGCAGGCAATTTCCTGTAACAGGCAGACAAGCCCATCAGCAAGGATTTACATAATAATAAATGGGGAAGTTGCTTCAGCTACCATTGTCTGGACTAACAATGGGTGCACAGCCCTGACCTTTGCAAGGGCTTCAAGGATCACCAGCCTTCCGGGTTCCTTGTCCACACCACTCTGCTAGTGAAGACAATAGGCTGTTTCCCACAGAGAATGATCATTTTGTACAGCCTGGAAGATGGGGAGGATCTGGCAAAGAATAGTAAAGAGGATTTGCCACTGAAGTAGGAGGCAAGGAGTATGGCAACCAAGGACCATGTGGTCACCAAGATATGAGGAATCCAAGAAGCAGGGTTGGCAGGGTTCAGTGCAACTGAGAAGACTAGTAAGTTAAAGACTGAGACGTGTCCATTGTACCTGCAAATTTGGGGTGCTGGTGACCTTTACTTGGAGTAGTGGAGACAATTTTGATTTTATTGAGTTTAAGAGAAAATGGGAGGGAAGAAATGGAGACAGAGCATAGACAAATATTTGAAGAAAGAGCAGAGTATTGGGACAGTGACGGAAGGAGAGTGTGAAGGTCAAGGAAATTGGTATATATTTGCTGCAGATGAGATTGATGGTAGAGGGACAAAATTGATGTAGGAGAAAGGGGGAACTATTGTGAGAGCAGATTCCTTGTAAAGGGATGAGATTAGCACCCAAGTAAAGAGGCTGCCACTGCTAATGAGTATACACAGTACAGGATAGGAGAGAAGGTAGTCTATAGAGGTACTGATACCTGCAAGCTGGGAGATCTGCTTTTTCTCAATGAAATAAGAAATAAGAATACTAGCTGAGAATGTGGAGAAACTGGGGGATTTGGAGGTTTGAGGTGTAAGAGAGAGTTGGAAGTGGTGGTGCTGGAGAGAGGGAGGTAAATTGAGCTCGTCAGGGAATGCAGTAGGATTCCCGGGCAGTCCTGAGGGTTCTCTTGAGGTTTGTGGTTATGAATTTTAAAATGAGACTTGTCAGCACTGTGGTGTATGTCTCCTCCCCTTCTGTTTCCCTCCCCTCCCACCACCACATTCAGCTGCTCAGGACAATTGTGAAGGAGGAAAGAGGCAAAGAAGTTGCATTGTTTGCAAGAGAATTGTTATAGTGATGAACCCTGGCATCTACTGGGGACATGAGAAAGTGAGGTGCTTTGAAAAAGAGTGGTATCAAGAAGCTGGGAGTTTCACTCTGCCTGCACACCCTTTGGTTCCTGGAAAGGGTTCAGGGGAAAAAGCACAAAAACCCTAAAACAGTGTTTATCTGTGGGCTCTCATTAGTGTCCACATTCCAAAGTGCATTTCTTTCCTTTTTCTCCTCAGGTGGTGTCCATGGTCGCCTCAACTGGGAGCCTGAAAGCTCTTGCTCCTACTTTCCCTTTCCTATCCGTTTTACCCCTCTTCCCCAGCATCCACCGTACGCTCTTCTTGATCCAGTGGGTCTTAATTCACACTTTCATCCCATACATCCGTTCTGGTCAGCCCAATTTCACTCTAAATTCCTCACATTTTCAGAGGAAGCACCCCCCCCCCCCCCACCCAAA